TGGCGTTGTGGATGATGTCGAAAGCGAGCTCATTGTGAGATTCCTTGCCAAAAAGAGCTGGAACGAGAAAAACTTTCAAGTTCGTCTCTACTACAGTCAGTTTGCTCCTTGCTGATCCTTTCTAGGTCTCTACAAAAGTTTATGCTGTCCTCACCCTTCTTGCTGAGCGATCTTCTACGTTTGGCAAACCATCCGCAGCGTTGGCAATTCCACACTTGACAGAAAAACTCGGAGATACAAAACTGAAAAAGCCAGCTGCAGACACCTTAATGCTGTTTGGCGAGAAAACATCTCTTTCCTTCGTTTTCAGTCAAGGTGAGTGAAAGACAAAGTACCTGCCCTTGAATTGACCTAACTAAACCCGTAGCTTATGACCCACTATCGAAGCAAAAGGCTCCAAAAGTCATTGCCGATGCCACTACGTGGATGAAGGATGCGCTGACCGAGTTTGGTATTGCGGGACTATCGCTGCGACCTTTGATTGGATTCCTCCAAAATGCCTTGAAAAATTCGAACGCAGCCGTACGCTCAAGCGCAACCAACACACTTGTAACCCTCAAATTGTTTGCTGGTGCTGGTAAGTGCATTTTGGTCTTCCTCGAAAAGTATTGACGAGAATGGTAGCCGTCAAGGACTTTTTGGATGATCTCAATCCACAGCTTATGGGCACAATTGAAAAGGAATTTGAAAAGGTCGACGGTCAGACTGCACCTGAACCAACGAGGACGCAGGCGGATGTGGCACCCGTCGTAGCGAGTGGAGGACAATCGAAGGCTGCAGACCCAATGGAAGAGCTTTATCCTCGAGTTGACATCGACAGGCTCCTTGTAGGCACGACTATCCTTGCAGACTCCAAGAGCGATGCCTGGAAGGCACGAAAAGAAGCACTCGAGAAATTCCAAGGTCTCCTAGAAGCTAACAAACGCTTCAAGCCTAATCTTGGTATGTATTAGTTGGCATGTCTTACTTCAACCTCCCGCTCACACGATCCAAGGGGATATTGGGCAAGTACTCAAAGCTCGTGTGGTTGATCAAAACAAGGCTGTACAAGCCTTGGCTCTTGATATAATCTCGCGAATAGCTACCGGCATTAACAAACCCTTTGAAAAATACAGCAGGCTCTTTGCTGTTCCAGTCGCAACTGTACTGGCAGATCAAAAGGCACCTATTCGAATGGCAGCCATGGGAACGTTGACCGCAATCGCTACAGCATGCGAAGGGATCGATTCGTTAGTGCATGGTTTAGCAGCGGCTCTTGAGGCACAGAACCCCCTGCAACGGAGTACTCTCTTGGGATGGCTCTCTGATTGGTTCAAGGATCACCCTCCTACTTCATCTCAGGACTTGTCCGAGTTTTCAACCCCGGCTGTCATGTGTCTAGATGATCGTAGTGCAGACGTACGCAAAGCTGCTCAAAATTTGTTACCATATCTTATCCAAAACGTTGGATTCGACGCTCTTGTGAAGGAGACTAATCCACTGAAACCGGCGTCCAGATCCGCCATTCTTCCAATCCTCCAAGCGTTAAAGCCAGCCAATGCAGGCTTAGGGGCGCCAGCAGCTGGTGCCGCTCCCGCTAAACCTGAGGCTGCTGGTGGCGCATCTACACTTGCCAAACCCCGCGGTACAGGTGTCTCGAGACCGTTATCGATGGTAGCTCCTTCAACAGCTACTTCTCGACCGGAATCTAGAGCGGAATCCGAAATTGAGCAACCAGGCTCGGCTCGACTCCCCGTGAAGAGCAAGTTGACGGCTCTAAAGAAAACTGCCCCTGCTATTGTCAAGGCTGAGCCGGTTGTAAACACTAACTCCGCCAACCCTGCGCCATTCTTTGGTTCTAACCCAGATGCCAAGAAAGCACGTCTAGCAAAGGATGTGGGACGTTGGACGATTGAGGCAGGGCCTGTACGCAAAGACCTTGCCGAGTTTTTACAAGCTCAAATGGACAATCATACCTCCAAAGATCTCTCGGCTCTTTTATTCAGTCAAGGACATAATGCAACGAATGACTGGGTCTCTGGTATGACTACTGTGGCCGAATGTTATACCAATACCCTCGCAGGAGATGAGCGTTATGGTCCAACCAATCAAGATATGAAGGCTATTCTCATTGCGAACTCGGACCTGTCCCTGAAATATGCGTGCTTACGAGTACATGAAAATCAGTCCAATGTTGTAGGGAAGACGTTGGATGTGGCCGAAGCGGTTCAAAACTTGCTAGCCGCCGACGAATACCGCCTTACTGATGCTGAGGCTGCTTGCTTCCTACCTACGTTTATTCACAAGGTAAGATTCTCTGCGTTTTACTAAGAAAAGGTACTAAGCTCTGTAAAAGCTTGGGGATGCCCGCGAACCTGTGCGCGTTCGTGTGCAACAAATTATCCAAAAGTTGCCCAAAATCTATCCATACGGGAGAATATTCCAGAATCTATTGGAGCACGGGTTGAAATCGAAAAATGCTAAAACACGGCAGGGCTCTCTCGATGAGCTCGCCAATGTGCTGAAAGGGGCAGGGCTGAGTGCTTGTGATCCTCCCAAAGCCTTCCCTATTGTGGCATCTATGATCGGTGATAAGGATGCAAGCGTACGTAAATCAGCGCTAAGCGTATTGAGGTATGTGGAGCCTCTTTGTAATATTGGTGATACTGATGTTTGGTATAGTGAAGCATACATCCTTGAAGGTGAAAAAATATGGAGCCATGTAGGGACGCTTTCCTTGAAGGACAAGGGGCAACTCGAGGAACGACTGCGTAGGGTGCCCACCAATCACCCACCCGCCTCACCTGCACCTCAGACGACGGTACACGCACCCAATTCCAGGCTTTCCCTAGCGGGCGCTCGAGCAGAATCCCCTGCTCTCGTCTCGAAGCTCGCTCGACCAATGTCACCTGCTGTGACCGCGAATGGACGGGCATCACCGGCAACCGGGCGCATTCCACAGTCAGCAGCAGCAAGCCCTTCTCCCGCTAGTCGTGCGACACAAGGTATAGCAAGCCCATCTGCTAATCGCTCAACCCAAGGCACAGTAGCTCCTGTTGCCGTGGGCGGCCCTGCTCGTCCAAAAAGCCTTGTTCCATCTCGTCTAGGTCCTGCCAGAGGGATACCGCAGCCCAGTGGTATATCGAGACCTGCTTCTACAGTGATCAAGTCAGAAAATGCTCCTGAGCGTGCCACAAACGGGCACGCTCCACAGATTGACGCGGACGATCCAGATGACATCTCGCTGACCATCTCCCACATACTCAGTCATGATCCTGTACGCAGCGTGGATGCATTGAAAAAGATACAAAAGGTACTCGAGCTCTCTCCGGATGCAGGCAAGAACGACAGTCGCTACAGGGAATTGGCCGATCACACTGAAGGTCTTATCGAAACCGTCACCACGCAAATGTATTACGTCTTTGAGCACGACATCCTCGACCCAGCAAACTTCCGTCTCGCAAAGCATCTTATCCAGACACTCAATGCTTTCTGTGATCACCCACTACTGTCGGAGTCACTCTCCGTGAGTGTGCTCCGGGGGCTTTTGGAAGAGCTAACCCTTCGACTATTGATCACCGACGAGAGCAATGAAACCAAGGTCAAAGATCTATCGAAATTCATCAACATGATTCTTTTACGACTTTTTGCCACGGGAAGACGTATTACGATATTCCGGTGGGTATACTTGCTCTATAGCATTGTTTCAAAGGCTCATAGATTGTAAAGTGCTCTGTTCCTTCTCCTGTTACAGATCGTCAAGCCATTCCCGATGAATGGGACTACCTCCGAGAATCGCCAAGCCAAGGTCGCTGAGCTTGTGCTCAAGTGTATCTGGAAATTGGCTAGAAACATTCCTGATGATTTAAAAAATCAAATATTAGATCCTGTTGAACTTTTTCCCGCAATCGAGCAATTTTTACAGTCTATTCCACCGAATGATTGGAGGGCCAGAGCTACCAACAAGATCCCAAGCGGAGATATGCCACTGCGCACGGTGAAGGTGATCATTCAACACATAGTTGGTACGTACTGCCTTAATTCACGAGTGACTTTTGGGCTGACGGTTCTCAACAATAGCCGAATTCCGTGAGGATGTTTATGACCATCTTTCACAAGCGTTCGACGACCCATCGGCCACCATCGTCTACCCTTATGTATACAGAATCCTCAATGCTCGACCGAAAGAGGAGGCAGCGGCGGCGGCGGCCGTATCTGAGACAGCACCGGCTTCACCTATACAGGCTCGGTCTATGACTCCACAAAGTACTCGCTCATCCACTATCTCACGCCCAAGGCAAGACTCGACGACCTCTAGAGCTTCCACTCAATATAATCAACCATCCGGGCGGTCTACGCCAACCTCACAAGCTACTATTGATCCTGACTTGGATGACCAACTGAACGCAATATGGCTGAGAGCCTCTGCACCAGATGGAGCTATGCATAAGGACGCAATTAATGACCTGTGGAACTTCATCAAAGCCCATCCTGAAATGAAACCCCGAGTCGATGCCATGATAGATGGAACGGGAGGTGTTTATATGAGATATATTCGGCGGGCATTAGCTAGTCGGCAAGCTGAAGATGATTTACGATCAGGAACTCCTCGTTCATCGAGTAAGTCACGCACGCTCAATGCAAAAAAACAATCCTAATACCCCACAGTGGCTCGACCGCCTTCGCTGGATATGACAGGGCAGGTTCCATCCTCCCCTGTCAGGACACCTGGATCGCCAAGGAGATCTATAGTGGGTGAGGATGAGTCAGCGGCCAGAATGAAACATTTCCATGATATGTTCAACTACAATGGCAGGAGCAGTATCGTCAGCAATGGCTCTTCGCGCAGTTCTGTCTACGATGGTCAACACCCTGGTGTTCAAGCGCATCTGGAATCGCTTCGAAAGCGGGACAGTATGGCGTTTAATGGAGCATAGACCCTCAGGGAGGATTTGTTTATTGCGGCTCTTATCCAATCGTGTATTATTAACTGCATTTTTGTATTCAGCGCTGAAAATTCGTTCTAGTTTATAACAAACTTCGCGCACGTTTAACTATTCTTCACAGATGCGAGAAACTTTGAATCTATTTTGGGCCTACTTGTGATCACTCGGCAAATTTAAGAAACCTCTTGGAAAATGAAAAATAAGCTCTATATACTCTGGCGTCATATGTACTGGGTATGCATAGGTTAGAACTATCGTATACCTTGCATTTTACAAGGCTTTGAATTAGACCATGCTTAGAATGGTGGAATATCCCTGCTGAAGCCCATGCTCTGTGAAGATGAATTGTCAGAATGAAACTCTACAAGAACCGAAGGAGGCCTACCAAATTCCCAAAGGTGATCTCCACCACCCTTTGCGGCTGCATGCTCCGCCACCCTTCTTTTGGTCCATTCTGCCTTGTATCCGATCTCCGAAAGGGACGTATTGCCAGGAAAACTGAAAAAGAGTTTCCCGTCATTCCAACCTTGTAAGAATCCCATCTCGAATCTCCAGTGTTCGCTGTTGGACATCTTTCCTCTCCAATAGTTGACATGATTATCTGGAAACGGCTGGGTGAGGTCACACGCAACGTTTGATCGAAAGTTAGCTTACTATATGCCTTTGTCTTTGCTT